CTGCGGCTGGGAATCTTCACGTGTGTCCCCGCAACAGCGGGAGGAGAAGCACACCGTGAACCTGAGCATCCAGGCAGCGGCCAAGTGCCAGCCTTCTGACTCTGCAGCCCCAAGATGGGCAGTCCCTTGGCTCTGTACCCTTGATCCTCTCTCCAGTTCTACAGACAAATGTCTCAGACTCGCCCACTCCCACCCGCAATTTCCCTTTCAAATGCGCGGGAGATTAATTATGAATTCCGCCTCATCCTTTTGGCAAATTGCTGTTCCCATCAAGCCGCCCACGCGGGCACCGAAGCCCACAGTTTGTCGGGGCCTCCGAAGCAGCTGGTTGAGGGTTCCTGTCGCTACTTGGGCCGGGCATGACCTCCCGTCCACACAGACCCAGACCCCTGCGGTGCCAAATTAATGGGCAGTGTTTCTCTTCCAGGGTGTGAAGCCTTCCTATTGGAACCTCAGTGCTGGGACGGTGGGACTCGGTGCAGGTAGGTTCTGTGCCCTGTGATTTGCTCGCGGATTTGAAGACTGGGTGGGAGTGGAGCGTCAAGGCTGCGGGAGCGTCGGGTTTGTCCAGGATCGTGCAGAGAGAGACAGGGAAGGGACAGGATGGAGTCTTGATGCCTGGCAACAGGGGATGGATGTTCTGAGGGAGGCCCATGGTACTGTGTGGGGTGACCTCGACCCCAGACAGGGTCAGGGTGCAAAGGTCACAGCCATGCAGTCGGCCTCTCAGCTGTCGTGGCTCCACCCCAAGATGCTTTGGTCCCACAACCTGTTTCCCACGTCCTCTGTTTCCTGCACCCCCTTCCTGAACTCACGGTTGAGGCTGGTTCTAAGAGCTGGATGTGTTCCGACGTGATGTGCGTTTGAGATTTGCCTTTGTTTTCTGCGCCTGTGAGGAAACATCCAAGACTGATACTCTGTGAGAAAAAAGGTTTCCTTCTGACTAGCAGTCGGTGTTGCCGGGTTATCTGTGCCTGTGCCTGTGTGAAGCACCCACGGCTGCAGCTGCTTTAGAGGGAAACAGATGTTGAGGCTCACGGCGCATGTATGCATTACCTTAGTCTGATTCCTGTGACGGCTACAAACTACCTCAGGCTGGAGCCATTATAAAGAAAACATTTGTTCCGACTCTCAGTTTAGAGGCAAGGTTCGGGAGGGAAGGCAGTGTGCCGTGCCGGAAACACGTGGCAACAGACTGAAGCCAGGCCTTGGCTTTTATTGTTTTGTTTTGAGACTGTATCTCATTATGTAGTCCAGCCTGACATAGAAATGCTGCCACGAATTCTCTCTTGGAGACTCTTGAGTGTTGGGATTAAACAAACGCCCACCACACTGGAGACGCGGCTCAGTGGTTACAGCACCAGCTGCTCCCTGAGAGGGCCCAGGTACAAGTCCCAGCACCCACATAGGGGATCCCAGCTGTCTATGACTCCAGTTCCAGAGGAAACCTGACAGCCCCTTCTGGGTGCTGCAGGTACTGCACACACATGCACAGACACACATATCATTGAAGATGGTATAATAAATTATATTTATGTCCGCATGTCTGTCCAAATGTTAAGAGTATATTAGAAGCCATGTCTGCACTGCTTGATTGGGTGGCTTCTCCACCAGCACATAACCACACAAGGGCTCAGGACTGGGCACAATCACGTGCTCGTCCCCCAACACCTGGAGGTAGAAGCAGGAGTTCAAGGCCATCCACAGCTACAAAGTGAATTTAAATTTGAGACCAATCTGGGCCACCTTTCTCTCTAAAAAAGAAAGTAAAATTAAAAGGTCAGCCCAGCATGGTGGTGCACACCTTTAGTCCCAGCACCTGGGAGGCAGAGGCAGGAGGATCTCTGTGAGTTTGAGGCCAGCCTAGGCTATACAGTAAGATCCTATCTCAAAAACAAAACATTAAATTTGGCTTTCATGTTGTCAGGGGACCCTGCGTGACATCAGGGCACATCGTGGTGGGTATGACTGGGGAGCCCCCAATGTGGGGCAGACATGAGGCTGTGGGTGGCACTCAGGGTTCAGTGTGCCCCACAGAGGAGCCTCCAGGTCTGAGGTTTGGGGACCTTGGGGACCTATAGAGGGGCCCCTGACATGAGGACTTTTCTGTTGCAGAAGAAGCAGGCCTTCTCTCAGGAGCAGAATGGGCTGCAGGATAACTCCTGAATTTGTTGTTGTTGTTGTTGTTTTTATTCTTTCTTTCTGTCTGTCTTTTTGATTTTTTTCAAGACAGGGTTTCTCTGTAGCCTTGGCTGTCCCAGAACTTGCTCTGGAGACAAGGCTGCCTCTCAATTCGGAGATCTGCCTGCCTCTGCCTCCTGAGTACTGGGATTAAGATGTGGGCATTCATATCCAGCATCTTTAATTTTTTTTATTTTAATTTTATGTGCCTTGCTTTTTTGTTTACATTTGTGTCTGAGTGAGGGCATCTGGTTCCCTGGAACTGGATTTATGTGTGTTTGTGAGCTGTCATGTGGGTATTGGGAACTAACCAAGATACACTGTGACAGCAGCTGGTGCTCTAACCACTGTGCTGCCAGTTCAGTCCAGTGTGGGCACTTTAAAAAATAACTACATGCACTTATGTGGGCATGTGTGCATGTCCTGGAACATGTATGGAAATTTACAAGAACAATTTACGGGAGCCAGGCCTCTCCTTTCCCGATAGGGAATTGAACTCAGGTCTTTGGGCTTGGTGGCCAGGTTACTGAGCCATCATTTTATACAAGTTTGGCTGGGATAGCAAACAATGCCTGTTGTTACCACATGTGACCACGAGGAGGCAGGAGAGGTCCGTGCGTTTCTGCACCGCCACGTGCAGGGGCGGCGCCAACGGGTGTGTATCAGACAAAGCTTGGAAACGGAAAGGCTGTCTCCGCCGTCCATGATGCTGGGGTGACAGTCACCATTCCATGTGTCCCCCAACCTCATGGACAAAACAGAGCTCGAGAACACAGAACATGTAGCCACCCAAAGCAACATGGTGGGAAGCTCCTGTCACAAAGTCAGCAGACGCACCCTGCAGGGCCAGGGATGGCAGGAGAAAATGGCCGGGCCAAAGAGCCTCATGGGAGCCTTCTCCATAAAACCTTGATGCTCAAGGGATCCATGTGAGCTCAGAGCCCTGGAGCAACCCCAGCACAGTGTTTTTCTTCAAGTTCCCATTTTTCTTGCAATTTGGGGACATTTCTGCTGGGAACATGACTGGTGCCTTTTGTCAGGAGCCACTCTGGTACAGATGGCTGTTTCTGGCTTCCAGCTAGAGCTGGCTTCCACACACATGCCGTTGGCTGGTCACCCTCCAGGTCTGTCCCAGGCGAGTTCACGTTGTGCTGTTATTGGGTCTCTGTGGACAGGATGTCCTGGGAACACGCTACCGAGATACAGGTCTGCGGTGCTTGGCTCACAAGGTCACAGCAGCTGCCGGAACACCAAACACAGCCAGTGCTGTGTCACAGTGTGTTCACACTGTGACTCACCAGGAGTGTGGCCCATTGTGCCTAGAACCTTCTCCTTGCTAGTCTAGTCTGCAGCTCAGAATTCCAGAAACTTCTCAGAGCACCGAAGACTTAAAGTGTGACATTTACTCTCAGCCAGCAAGATGTGTTAGTATGATCCTACCCCACGCTTCAGGGGATCCTAGGTGACATCTAGGGACATGTGCGGCTGTCCCTCTGGGGATGGAGGCTGTGGAGGCTGCTGTGTGCTGTAGGGTCAAGGACACCCCACAGAGACCAACTTTGAGGAGTGTCTCCAGGGACACTGATGCTTAAACATATGCTGGGGTAGAATATGTTACGGGGTGGGGGCGGAGGCGACCATCTTTTCCCTCATGGTTGGCATGTAGGTTTCCATGAAAGCAGGATCTCAGTGGGAGCAGGTGGCTGGGTGACACAGAGTCTCCAGGGGCCCTGGGAACCTCTGAGCCAGAGCATCTGTGCTGAGGACAGGCTATCCCTTCAGCCCACCAGACTCGGTGGAGACAATTACAGAGACAGAGCAGCTAGACCCTGACCAAGAATGGCCCAGCCCCAGACACACAGTTCTGGGGGGACTGCCACTCTCGTATGGAAATCTCACCTGGCATGGGGGACGCCTCTTTGTTGTTTGAGGCTCGGTCTCTCGTAGCCTAGGCTAGCTTCAGATACTCTATGTAGCTAATGATGACACCAAGCTCCTGCCTGCACCTCCTGAATGCTCTGTGACAGGTGTGTGCTACCACGTGCTAGGGACAGAGCCCAGGGCCTCATGAATGCCAGGCAACTGAACTACAAACACCCATCAACTGAGCTACAAGTACCCCACCAACCAAGCTACAAGCACCCTACTGACTGAGCTGCACCCCCATCTGAGAATCATTATTTTTATTTTCTGCAGTGACCTCTGGTCCCTTCCGAGTCCCAGCAAGCAGCTCACTCTTTGAAACCTCATGCACCTAGTTTACCACTTGAAAATCAAGAGCCAGAGAAGTCTGCACAGAGAGCTGGAAGTCTCCTCTGCAGTGGATGCTGTTGCTAAGCAACCACCTGAAGCATCAGCCTACCCCAGTGTGGTGCTAATGCAGGAACAGGTCACTCCTGGATTTGCTGGCCCCAGCCTCTGTTGACTCAGTGTACATGGGGGTGACAGTTATGTCTGATGATGTGTCAGGGGTGGTGGGGACACAGGGACACCAGCAGAGGCTAGACACAGCTCACCTGCAGTGGGTGAAAGGCATCCCACAGCACCCCAGGTCCACGCCAGTGTCTGAAGAGCTGGCCTTGATTTAAGGTTATTCTTATTTGTGTGTAGGCGGGGGCATGCAGTACCGACACTGGCCAGCAGGGGCATTGGGTCCCTGGAGCTGGAGTCACAGGTGGGTGTGAGTGGCCGTCTCTACAAGAGCAGTCAGGGCTATTACCCTGTCAGCTATCCCTCTCCCCAGCAGGATCCCTGCTTGGGCTTCTTACATTGCTGCCTCCGCTGTGTCCTTGGGCTGTGTTCACAGCTGCTGCTGGGTCCCCACCTGGATAACACACCTAGTTGGATGCATCCTGACATCCACCACCCCTGTGACTCAGGGACTCCCTAAGCTCCAGGCAGCTGAGCACAGACAGTCCAGTCTGCAGCCTGCACGGGTGTCTGCTCCATCTCAGTGTGCGTGTGCTGCGTGTGCTGCGTGTGCTGCGTGTGCTGCGTGTGCTG